AACTTCTAATTTATTTAATAAAAATAGATATCTTAAAAAATAATAAAATGAGAGCTGAAAAGGTTAGAAACCATGAATAAACCTCAACCAAGCTAGAGTCCCTCTAGATTCAAGTTTTTGGTCAAGAAGTCTAAAACCTAAAATATATGATTTAGATACATACACTCAAATGTTCGAACAAAACCACCAAAAAAATTATATTATATCAATGATACATACATGAAAAGGGTTGTAAACCTAACTATTGCCAATGTATGTCAGATATGTGTGTTCACCTACTCAAAATAGAATTAAAAGAATGAAAATATTAGTTACGTGATCCAAATAGAGCCAAAAACCTGAAAGTCACATCTATCTCAAACTTTCAAATGCATAATCAATAGCTATTTTTCCTAAAATAACCGAGACAAAATGCAACAAGACTAAAGCATGTCTTTAAAACTATACAATCATAAGTTCGTATTTCCAGCAATAGGCAATTCAAAAGATTTGAAAATTGTTTTATTTCAATGCTTGAAGAAGTTCTTTATTATTTTTAGATAGCATAAAAATTTACAAAAAAATAGTAAATTCAAAGATAGAGAAATACTTAGGTAGACAAGGTGCACCACATTATTTATAATCTGTCCAATTAAAATGCTTTAAGTAATCTAAATAAATCTTGTTTGACATTTTTTAATTGATTTTATTCTTATAACAGAATGCATATTTAATTTCTTACCTTTTTATATATTTACTATTATTAATATCAGAATCAATTTATATTTAATGTTATCCAAATATCATATTTTTATTGGATAGACCACAAATGATATGATACATCTGATCTACCTAAGAATTTCTCTTAAAGATGATAGCAATAAAATTTAACCCCTAATAAAATAGGAATGTTGGAGAAGGTGTCGATGGCCCGCATTGGATAACCCCTAATAACATATTGAATGAAGGAATAGAAATTTATAGGGCACTTGAAGTTCGATTATGAAGTGAATAAGATTGATCTAAATATTGGACAGTTGTTAGCAACCCCTTCAATATGTTAAATATATATTGGATGGTTATATCATTTAACCATCTAATAGTATTTGATTTTAGATAATTTAAAATATATATCTTATATAATTTAAAATATATATCTTATATATAAGATGGTTATTTTAAAAATCATTCAATATGCTTCTTCAGCTCTACTTACTGGATGACTTTGCATATAATCTAACATAAAAGAGGAACAATTGAGAAGAATTACATATCAAATGTTGCCTCAAACAATGGTATCGAGATAAGATTTGAAACCTAAAATTCATATAGAATCATACCTACAACAAGCAAAGAATTCCTAAATAAGGACGTTATGAAATGAGTGATTCATTGAATTCTGTTTCAAATATTGCGTGCATTTGAGACTTAAACTTAAATGATGTTGATAAACTAAAATAGACATACTTTTAAGAGAAAAACACAATAGCATGCAATCCATATTGTGTGAGCTTATATGAATGCAATAATAGAAGTGGATGGAAGGATCAATGTTCCATCATTGTGTGAGAGCTAAAAAGGAGAAAATCATTTCATAGTACCCTTAAAACTTTAACACTGTCATGAGAATTGCTTTCATGATAGCTACTTTAGCTCATAACCCATAATCATGAGTGATTCGATCTAATGGGTCCATTACTAGGAAAGTGACTAAATCATACTTGATTGATATCCAATCTAAAGAAAGATTAACCTTGAAGCACAGAGATACGTTAGTTTTTGAGACATGTCCCATACAAGTTATGAGAAAAACTTGCAAGTGCAGGTACTGAGCATATGAAAAGGCAATTTGAGTTAAAGATAATTAACTTAAGGGCATTAGACATGCCATGGGTAATTTATATGGCAAATCTGGGGCGCTTGAGGCAACTTGTATCAACAATGTAGGTATTCAAATGGATGCCTTTGTGTACTGATCCTATTACAAGATTTCTAGTACTCAAACATCTGAATTGAAGACATGTGCCTACACAGCCATGACATAGTACCAAATATGAAGTAAGAGAGATAAGAATCATAAGATGGTAGTCCCATTAAATACAAGTAGGAGATGTTGGAAATTACATATCCATCCTTGATGGGAATCTATTAATGATGTCAAAATAATGAGTAGATACTTGACATATACCAGTTTAATGAGAATTGACTGGAAATGAAGAATTAATAGTGGATTAATTCTTGATTTAATCCAAAACAAGTCATCTTCCCCTGTATTTATTGTGAAATATTCCATCACATTAATTTTCTCAATTATGAGGTGAATTATGATGATTGGAATTTTCCTTTTCATGAAAGCCTCCTATGCTATAAATAGCGGTGGGTAATTGAAGAAAGAACACACCTCACAACGAATGCCTCCTTCTCAATATCCGTTCTTCCTCTTCTACTCTCTCTCTCTCTCTCTCTCTTAGTGCATTTATTGTACATCTAAGAAAGGACTCTAGTTGTCCTATCTAGGTTGATTCTCTCACACTAACAGCTGCATTCAATGCACATGACACTACTACCAAAAAGGGTATATTGGACCGTCTAATATAAGGCTGTCATATATTAGTAAAGCAAATATTGAATGGTTATTATAAAAACCATCCAGTATTTAAAAAACATACTAGATGGTTATAGTAACAATTGTCTAATATAAGGAGTAAATGAGATGAGACATGATGTCATCACCACCCACTTAGAAAAAATGATGGAATGATTGAGAAGAATCACATATCAAATGTCCCCTCAAAAGTGATATTGACATGAGATTGGAAACCTAAAATTCGAATCAAATTATGGATACCCACGATCCATGATACCTACACCAAGCAAAGAATTCCTAAATAAGGATGTCATGAATGGAGTGATTCATAGAATTCTCATTCAGATACTGTATGTGTCTGAGACTTCAACTTGAATGGTGTAAGCACTCTTGAGAAAGAAATACTGTAGTATGCAATTTACACTATGTGCCTGCAATAATGGAAGTAGATGGAAGGATACATGTTCCATCATTATGAATCCTAGAATGGAGAAAATCCTTTTATAGTACCATAATCACTTTGACAATGTCATAAAAGGCTGGTTTAGTGACAACTACTTTAACCCATATGCCATGATCATGAGTAATTTGCCTTAACAAGTCAACTACTAGGAAGGAAACTAAATCATACTTGATTGATATCTAGTCTAAAGGAAGATTAACTCCCAAACACAGCTTAGTTTTTGAGACGTGTCCCTTAGAAGTTATGAGGAAAACTTATAAGTGCAGGTATTGAGCATTTGAAAAGGTAGTCTAAGTTAAAAATAATTAACTCAAGGGGAATTAGACATGCCATGGGTAATATGTACAAGTAAATCTAAGGCTATGTATGAGTAAATCTAAGGCAGACAACTTATAACAACAACACAAGTATACAAATGGATGTTTTTGTGTGCTGATCCTGTTATAGGATTTTGATGAGACCTTATTGAATTAATAAACAAAAGAGCAGAAAAAATTATGTAGCAAAGGAAACAATGAAAGGGAAATCCTTAGGTTTAATATTAATGAGATGGAATACTGAATGAAGTTACAAGAGATCTCCAAATTCATTGTTAAACACTATTCCCTTGATACAAAATAGAGATCACAACCAAAATCAACACTAGCAAAGTCACTAACTTTCGAGAGGCCAGTCCTCTCCTTACCATACTCACAAAACAAAATGACATAACCTATTGGGGGTTTCCAAGACAACTATAAACCTAAAAAACAACCCTCTCGGACTGCAAAAATGGCCTCTCCTAAGTCAAGTATAATACTAGTCTAAAGCCGCCTTAGTTTTTATTTTCTTGCTCCTTAGCAATAGGAAAAGTAAAGCCAACACTCTCCCCTTGTGAAAGTGCCTTTCCTTTTCCATGCTTTTTCTTAAGTTTCGGTTTTTAGGTTTGAGTAGCAAATGCAATTCTACCAAATTTCTAGTACTTAAACATTTGAAACGAGGATGGCATCACACAGTCATGGCAAAGTATCAAGTATGACATAAGAGAGATAGGAATCAAACGATGGTAGGCCTATCAAGTACGAGCAAGAAATGTTGGAAATTATGGATCCGCCCTTGATGGGACTCTAGTAATGATGTCAAATTAATAAGTAGATACTTAACTTGACCAGAAATCAGGAATTAAGGTGGATTGATTCCTGATTGAATCCAAAACAAAAATCTTCCCCCATATTTATTGTGGAATATTCTATCATATTAATTCCCTTGATCATGAGGCGAAGTATGATGATGAATTTTCCTTTTTCATGGTACCCTCCTACGCTATAAATAGCGGTGGGTAACTGAAGGAAAAATAAACCCCGGAATGAATACCTCCTCAATATTCGCTCCACCTCTCCCCCTCATTCTCTCTTCGATATGTACATCTAAGAAAGGACTCTAGTAGTCCTATCTAGTATGAGTAGTTGGTAGACTCTGCAATGACCAAATTTGGTAAGAGTCTGACACAACTCCTTTTTCAGATTATTATTTATTTATAATATCTTTCAAATGGAATAGCGACTCTCTCTCAGTTTCTACTCTCCTTTCTCCTCCCTCTCTTCCCCTCTCTTTCTCTCTCTTTTGTATTATATTTCTATAACAACAAGAAAGTTTATTCCATTTAACTCTATGATTCTCATAAAATCTAATTACAACCTACCCAATCCCCTCTATTAATAGACCCAAGCACCCATAGCCATTGGCTAACTCTAATTAATTCTTCCCTTTATTACAATTATATATCAGTTGATATGAGGTTTTTCTCCCACGAAGTGCATGAATAGAATGGATAACACCTAACAATGTGGATGATTTATGAAATGGAGTACAAAGCCATAAATCTTCCAAAACTATTACAAATTAGCAAGGACAACTTTCCAAGTATAGATATCAAAACAAATGTTTTAGTAATACAATTTAAAAGTAGAGAGTTGAATCTTAGCATCTTACCCTGCCACCTCTAACAAAAGGTTTCTCTTTCCCTGAGCTAGTGTAGGCGTCACAAAATTGGTCAAGAAACAATTCTACCAGTAGAAATCACCATAGGAAACAAATTAAAACTAGTGAAAGGATAAACACAATAGCATCTTAGCAATAAATTTAACAAAGATAGAACATCTTTAGAGATTATAAGCATACCATGAAGGCTATTTGCCGAGAGACCACCATTTAAGGGAAGACAACTGTCTACAAAACTGTGTAAAATGTAGGCATGGTTTTAGAGGTGTTGGTATAAATTACATCATCACAATGCAATGGCCCAGTGCTTGGGTCTGCATTAAAATGTAGTGACAAAGGAGTCAGACTCAAAACCAACAGAGCTTTAACTTTTCAGCAATTATGATGTGATATCAACAGTAGCGATGCGTTCAAGGAGAGCTCGACGCTTTCCTCCAATAGGCATAGAAAGATTTCAATACTTGTATATGCCATTTGAAAGAGAATGTGTTGTGCAGGCAATGTAGGTAAATTTAGAAAGAGTTTTGACATTCTCACGCCGATTTTTCAATAGATTCTTTCTCAAGAGAAATGAGGAGTGGGGAGTGGGGAATAAATGAGTGGTATGTAAAACAAAAAGTTTGAGTTATTGTGTTCGGCCATATCACAAACAACTTAATTAAAGGAAAAAATATACAATCAACCACAAAAATAGGTGCTAAATTGAAATGACATTTAGATATGATAGAAACGAAAAACAATTGATAGAATTGATAGAAATCTGAAAGGTAACCCAAAAAAAAAGACTAAGAATCAGTGTCAGCTGTAAGGTAATATCAATAATAAAATTCTGCTGCAGAAGAATCAGAATATAGAGGTGATCATGAGTCATGGCATCAAAATCACCTTGGTTCATGAGTAGATAAATAAACTCAGCCAAATTTTTTTGGAAAATAAAATAAGGGGAAAATTGATGTTACAGACCTGCTGAGAAATTATTTTCCACAAGTAACCCAGTAATGTCATGGCTTCTGATCAAATTAAATAAACTAGTGCTTAATATGGGTCCTTGAGGATTTATACCATCAATGGCTAGTTAATCATCATAGCCAGTCTTCCTTACACTAAGCTCATCCAGCTGAATGAAAAACATAAAATTAATATATGATTTATATCATCTATATGATTTATATGCAAGGTCTCCTATTGATTTACGAACACTCCCTCAAAATGACAATACTTTAAATGCTTGATAAATGATATGAGTATATGATTAACATTCTCCATAAATGATGAATTTTATTTAAAAATTGAGAAAGATATCAATAAAAATATAAAGCAATAAGAATTTTTTCAAGACATATTTAAGCTAAATATATAAAACACTTTAAAAGGAAAGAAAAAAATGAGGAAAGGAGAGAGAGAATGCAATGAGTTATGTATAGCCTGTGCATATGGTGGTTTCACCAAGTCATACATCCAAAAAAAAATTGTTTTAAAAAAATAAAAGATGACTTTTGTTTAAAAACTGAGAAAGATATTATGAAAAATATAATGAATAAACATTTTTTAAGACATGTTTAAGTTAAATAAAAAAAATCATTTTTCAACAAAAAATATAGAAAAATAAAAAAAAGTGTAAAGATTAAAAAGGTGTGCTTATAATTAAAAAAGATTTAAAATGTAAGGTATGCAATGAGTTATATATAGTGTGCGTACATTGTGCAAATCTCACATCATAAATATATTTTTTTCAAGAAAATATAACACATTAAACACTTTTTCAAGACATGTTTAAGCTAAATAAAAAATCATGTTTGAACAAAAAATATAGATAACTAATAGCAAGTAAAAAAGATTTAAAAGATGTGCTAATATATAAAAAAACTTTACAATGTAAAAAATAAAAAAAAATCAAGAAAAAGCACGAGAGAAAAAGAGAGTGAGAAAGAATGCAATGTGTTAGATATGATGTACATGCATGATGATTTCATCAAGTCCCACATCAAAAATATATTTTTTAAGAAAATAAAAGATGGCTTTTGTTTAAAAATTGAGAAAGAAATCATGAAAAATATAATACATTAAACACTTTTTCAAGAGATGTTCAAGCTAAAAAAAACATGTTTCAACAAAAAATATAGAAAAATAATAGAAAGGGCAAAGATTAAAAAGATGTGCTTGAAAATATATAAAAAAAAAATCAACAAAAAAAAAGAATGCAATGAGTTATAGATGGTGTGTGTACATGGTGGTTTCATCAAGTCTCACAAGCAAAATATATTTTTTTAAAGAAAATAAAAGATGACTTTTATTCAAAAATTAAGAAAGATATCAAGAAAAATATAAAGCATTTAAACACTTTTGAAGACAAATAAGAGGAAGTGCAAAGATTAAAAATATGATCTTACAATTAAAAAAGCTTTAAAATGTAAAGAAAAAATCAACGAAGAGAAGAACGAAAAAAAAGAGAGAGAATATAAAGAGTTATATATGGTGTGTTGTTTCATCAAGTCCCACATCAAAAATATATGTTTTAAAGAAAATAAGAGATGACTTTTATTTAAAAATTGAGAAAGATATCAACAAAAATATAAAGCAATATCTTAGCTAAATAAAAAATATCAAGTTTAAACAAAAAATATAAATAAATAAAAGAAGGTGTAAAGATTAAAAAAAATGTATTTATATTTAAAAAATATCTAAAATGTAAGAAAAAATTTTTTAAAAAAAAGCACAAGGAAAAAAGAGGAAAAAGAAAGCAATAAATTATATATGGTGTGTGTGCATGGAGCTTTTATCAAGTCCTATATAAAAAATATATTTTTTTTAAGAAAAAAGTATGACTTTTATTTAAAAATTGAGAAAAATACCAAGGTAAATATAAAGCATTAAGCACTTTTGAAACACATATTTAAGCTAAATAAAAAATCAAGAATAGACAAAAAAATAGAAATAAATGATAGGAAGTGCAAATGTTAAAAATATGTGCTTATATTTAAAAAGAATGAGAAAAAAGAGAAAGAATGGAATGAGTTATATATGCTGTGTGTGCATGCTTGTTTCCTCAGGTCGCACACATCAAAAATATATATATTTTTAAAGAAAATTCTTTAAATGCTCTATAATATGATACCTTTTTTTAAGAATATAAGATTAATATTCTTCATAAATGTTGGGCCAAAAAAAATATTCTTCATAAATGATGAATTTTATTTAAAAATTGAGAAAGACATTGATCAAAAAAGAAGAGTAATAAGCACTTTTTGAATACATATTTAAGCACAAAGAGAAAATCAAGTTTTAAAAAAATATAGATAAGTAAGAGGAAGTGCAAAGATTAACACATGCTTATATTTGATAAAACTTTAAAATGAAATAAAAAATAAAGAAAAAGTAGGAGGAAAAAAAGAGAAAGGATATAATGAGTTATATATTGTGTGTGCGCATGGTGGTTTCATCGAGTCCCACATCAAAAAAATATTTTTTAAAGAAAAAAAAAGATGAATTTTACTTAAAAATTGAAAAAGATATCAAGAAAAATATAAAACGTTAAGAACTTTTTGGAGACATATTTAAGCTAAATAAAAAATCAAGTATAGGAGAAATATAAAGATAAATAATAGGATTTCCAAAGATTAAAAAAATGTACTTATATTTAAAAAAAATTAAAATGAAAGAAAAAAATCAACAAAAAACAGAAAGAATGCAATGAGTTATATATGTTTTGTGTTCATACATGTTTGCTCAACTCCCATATAAAAAACACATACTTTTAAGATGAATACTTTACTTGATCATATGATACTTTTTCTATATTCTTCATAAATGATGAATTTATTAAAAAATTGAGAAAATATCAATAAAAACATAAAGCCATAAGAATTTTTTGAAGACATATTTAAGCTAAATAAAAAAATAAAGTTTAAATAAAAAATATAGATAAATAATTGGAAGTGAAAAGATTAAAAAGATGAGCCCATATTTAAAAAAATTTAAAATGAAAGAAAACAATTAAGAAAAGCATGAGGGAAAAAAGAGAAAGAATGCAATGTATTGGGATGTGCCTTATGATTTCATCGAATCCAACATCAAAAATACATTTTAAAAAAAAATAAGAGATGACTATTATTTGAAAATTGAGAAGGATATAAAAAAATATAAAGCAATAAGCATTTTTTGAAGGCATATTTATGCTGAAAATAAAAGTCAAGTTTAAATAAAAATATAAATAAAAAATAGGAATTGAAAAGATAAAAAATATGTGCTTATATTTAAAAAAAACTTTAAAACAAAAGAAAACAATCAAGAAAAAAAAACATGAGGGAAAAAAAAAAATGCAATGAGTTATATAAGGAGTATGTGCGTGCATGGTGGTTTCATCAAGTCCCATATTAAAAATATATTTTTTTAAAAAAAATAAAAGATCACTTTTGTTTAAAAATAAAGATATCATGAAAAATATAAGGCATCAAACACTTTTTCGAGATATGTTTAAACTAAATAAAAAATTATGTTCATACAAAAAATATAGATAAATAATAGGTAGTGCAAAGATTACAAAGATGTACTATATTTAAAAAAGCTTTAAAACTAAAAAAGCTTTAAAATGTAAAAAATAATTTTTTAAAAAAAAAAAGCACAAGGAAAGAAAGAGAAAGAAAACAATGAGTTAGATATGGCATGTATGCATGGTGGTCTAACCTAGTCTCACGTGAAAAATATATTTTTTTATGAAAAATAAAATATGGCTTTTGTTTAAAAATTGAGAAAGAAATCATGAAAAATAATGCATTAAACACTTTTTCAAGACATGTTGAAGCTAAATAAAAAAAATCATGTTTCAAAAAAAAATATAGATAAATAATAGGAAGTGAAAAGATTAAAAGATGTACTTACATTTAAAACAGCTTTACATTGTAAATAAACCAACAAAAAGCACAAGGAAAAAAAAACAGAGAGAGGAAGAATGCAATGAGGTAAACATGATGTGTGTACATGGTGCTTTCATCAAGTCCCACATCAAAAATATAGTTTTTTTTAAGTAAAATAAAAAAGGATTTTCGTTTAAAAATTGAGAAAGATATCATCAAAAGCATAATGCATTAAACGATTTTTCAAAATATGCTCAAACTAAATAAAGAACTATGTTTCCACAAAAATATAGATAAATAAAAAAGGTGTAAAGATTAAAAAGATGTGTTTACAATTTAAAAAAAGATTTCAAGTGTAAGAAAAAATTCAATAAAAAGAAAAAGGAAAAAAAGAGAAAGAAATCGACAAGTTATATATAGTGAATGTGCACAGTGATTTCATCAATATAAAAGTATATTAATTTTGAAAAAGAGATTACTTTTATTTAAAAATTGAGAAAAATACCAAGATAAATATAAGGGAGAATGACAAGTAAGGACTACTCCAGAAGAAAGTTTATGTTAAATTAAGATTTTTTTCAATATTAAAGTTCCCAAATTCAATACACCTCCTCTCATATTTCAATACTGAAATTCCTAATTTGATACTAATTTTTTTATAAGGTTCTTACTTGTCATTTTTCCTAAATACAAAGCATTAAAGACTTTTGAAAGACACATTTAAGCTAAATAAAAAATCAAGTATAGATTAAAAAAAATAAAAATAAGTAATAGGAGGTGCAAAGATTAAAAAGATGTGCTTATATTTAAAAAAACTTTAAAACGTAACAAAAAGAACAAGGAAAAAAGAGAAAAAATGCAATGAGTTATATATGCTGTTGTGCATGCTTGTTTCCTCAAGTCCCACATCAAAAATATATATTTTAAAATAAAATACTTTATAAATGATTAATTTTATTTTTTTGGCCCAAATGATGAATTTTATTTAAAAATTGAGAAAGATATCAATAAAAATGAAAAGCAATAAGCATTTTTGGAAGATAAATTTAAGCTAAATAAGAAAATCAATTTTAAAAATAAGTATAGATAAGTAGAAGGAAGCATAAAGATCAAAAGATGCTTATATTTAATAAAAACTTTAAAATGAAAGTAAAAATGAACAAAAAGCAGGAGGAAAAAAAGAGAAAGACAATAATGAGCAATATATTATGCGTGTACGTGGTGGTTTCATCAAGCCTATGTTAAAAATATATTTTTTTAAAAA